AAAAGGTGACAAAATGTTGTGATCTTCCTGGAAGAAGCAATGAGTGGAATCAAGCGGAATTAAATATTTCTCAGGGTCCTGAATGTGTCGCCATGGAGACACCCTTACCTTCCCCACAGGGTCTCCCATGGGTCACCACAGACTGGGAAAGCTGATCCTCTGCTCCTGGGGACCCTGTCCCTGGCTGTGATTCTTATTCGGGAGCTCTGAGGGTGTACAACTTACAAAGTCACCTGACTGTAGCGTTCACAAGCCTGCAAGTATTTAAAGCATACAGTTTGATGATTTTGACAGATGTCCACACCTGGGAAACCATCCCCACAATCAAGATAATGAATGTATTCATCTCCCCCAAAACATTCCAGTATACAGTATACTGTCTTCAGCACTTAGCCCACCCCAGCGACCCCCTAGCTGCTTTCTGTCACTGTTAGACTCGTGGGATTTTTTTAGATGCCCACTGAATAGATGTGATAAGTGGAATTGCAGTGAGTGGACATACTGATTTTGAGATTCACCCCTAGGACTGCACATTAAGTCCTTTCTTCCTTTCTGGTGCTGGGTACTCGTCCATTGTGTAGATTTGCCACAGTCCTGGGATGGACATTGGGGCCTATTACAGACAAAAGCGTAGGGAGCACCTCGCTTTGCCACGTGTTGTAACTGTGCAGTTTTACATCCCTCCCGCAGCTCTGTTCCCCCACATGCAGGCAGAAGTGGATGTGACCAGCTTTGCTTGTCATAGCCATGCTAGGGGGCTGTGACTTCAATTTTTATTTACTTAAGATTACCATTCAAGAAGCTTTATTGAGGGGATACTAGGACTCGAACTCAGGACCTTGCACTTGCTGGGCAGGTGCTTGTACCACTAAGCTATATCCCCGGCCAAAGAAACTTTTTAATGCTCTTGTTTGCGATCCATATGTCTTCTTCAGTAAAAAGAATTCACATCTTTCTTTTCCTTTCTCCTTTTTTTGGAATCAAACTCAGGGAGTTGTGCTTGCTGGGCAGACCCTGCACTTCTGAGCTGCATCCCAGGCCCCAAAGTTCAAATCTTTTCCCATTTTTAAAAATGGAGATGTCTGACTTAGAATTCTTGTTTTGAGAGCTCTTTGCATAATCCTAGATAGAAATCCTTTCCAAATCTATGTTTGGGACATATTTTCAACCTTTTTATTTTTGTGTCTTTTTTGGGCAAGGTTTTTAATTATGAGGAAGTTCAATTTACTGATTTTTAGTAGTTTTCACTTTTTCTAGGTTTTAATTTCATTTATAGTTTTTCTGTTGCTGTTTGGTTGGGGTTTTTTTGGTTCAAAAACCTTTGAGTTTGTTTGTTCTTTCACTCATGTGCAAGATACTCACTTTGTGCCTATTCTGTTCTCGGCCCAGCAGACAGGCCCGATGCTGCCTGTCCCCACAAAGCTAGAGTCTATGAGATCGGCAGACATAAATAGGTAACCAAATGAGTGACTGTATAGTCTGAGACTGGCATGCTTATTAAGAAGGAAGAGGTGAGGGCCAGGGATATAGCTCAGTGGCATAAGTGTCTACCTGGCACGTGCAAGGTCCTGAGTTTAATTTCCAGTACCCCCAAAAAATTTTTTTAAAAAAGGAGGAAAAGTTGAAGACAACATGAGGGAAAAGAATGCAGTCTTATTTGGATGAGGTTCTAGGGAAGGCTTTACTTAAGAAATCCCACTTAAGCTGAGTCCAAGAGAAGCAAAAGGAAGGGGACAAGCCTTCCTAGTGTCAGGATCTGCATGTGCAAAGGTCCTGAGGCAGGAAGGAGCTTAGGCATACTGGAAACAAGGCCCCAGTATGGCTGGAAAACATACTAAGACTAGGACAAGCAGGACCATACAAGCCATGCCAGGGTCTCATGGCTTATCTGTGGCTCTAGGGGCCATGGAACACATTTAAGTGGAATTGTGATGCCAGCAGGCTGGTGTGTTAAAATCTTTTCTGTCTGCAAGGGGTAGAGTAGCCTGCAGGAGTTCAGGAGGGAAGAGTGTTCCAGGAAGAGGGTGCAGCTTGCAGGGGGTCAGGATGAAGTCTCCAGGAGCAGCATGCTAGGAATGGGTGGCCAGGAAGAGCGAGCAGGCAGAGAAAGTGAGGTGGGCATTGGGCTGTGGATCTGGGCAGGGCCAGGCCGCAGGGGGCCACTGGAGGCCTCTGAATAAGGGGGCCACAGCACTTACCGTGTTAGGGATTCCTCTCCAGGCTCAGCCTCGCTTTACCCTGAAGCCAACCTCAACCAAGAGGAGCAGGGTGGGAAGAGGCCGGGCCATTCAGGATGGGTGGGGCACATGTAGATTTAGAAAGAGGCTCTGGGCAGTTGGACTGATGATTCTGGGGTCAGACAGGTCGTGTGTTAGTCCCCCGTGTGGCTGTAAACTTCCAGGCTGTGTGGCTTTGGGTGAGTTCCTGAATCTCTGAGCCTCACTCGCTCCTCAGGAAGCAGGGCTGAGACCCTAATCTTCAGGGATTGGTGAGGCAGGAGGAGCTCACGTGCATGGCTCAGTGATTATTACTATCCCTCACTGCCAGCCATGTCACGGCACCCATTTTCCCGGGGCTGGGGTTCCATATGCGAAGGGTTGTCGTCTCCATATTCCAGATGAGAAAATAGGCCTGAAAAGGAAGGACTTTCCCGGGGTGGCAGGTGGCAGCGCCCAGGAGACTAAAAGGCCAGGCGCCCGGGGGCGGTGCTCTCTGGAGCTCTATGGAATTGGCCCCAAAACTCATCCAAGGCACCAGCTGGGTTCCCCCTCGCAGGTAAACTCCCGTCCTCATCTGGGAAGTGGACATTGTACCCTGCGGGCTGCGGAGCTGAGGGACACAGGACAGGGGTGGGCACGTCTCCCTGGCACCTGGCACCTGCACTCTGATGCCTGGTCTATGATGACTGTGGTGGCAGAGCCTGGGCCTGTCCCAGCCTGGCAGAAGGCTCAGAGCGTCTGAGGCCACCCAAGGTCTGGGGGCAGGGCTGGTGTAGACTGCTTCATACAAAGACGGAGCGAAGAGCAGTGAGGGTGCCCGGGTGAGAGCCCCTCTCCCCTGGGGGGCCCCCTGGCCCCTCTCCTGTTCCGTTCCTACTTGTCTCCCGGGAGACCTGCTGTGCTTTCTCCACCCGGAGAACAAGGCCAGTGAGTAATGATCTCATCTCGGATCCATCCTCTTCGCAAAGGGTGACACCCACCCACTCCCAGGGAGGAAACCCTAAAAGAGGAATCTGCGGCAGGACATCCAGTCCGACTCCCCCGCCTGCTCCACATGTGGCCTTGGGCTGGTGTTCTCTCCTCCCAGGCCTCAGTTATCTGCATGGACAGAACACGGGTTTTGAAATGGCTGCCTGGAGGGGTAGACAGTGTCACTTTGGTCTCTTATGCAGGGGAGGAGGGAGAGGAGCCACTAGAGCCACAGCTTAAGATGTCCAGTGGTCACAGTGTGCCAGGCCCAATCCTGAGTGCTCACTCAGGCCACCTGAACTGTCCCTGCACTACCAGCTTGGGGTGGGTGCTGTTTTACTCCCATTTTAAAGATGAGGAAACTGAGGCACAGAGCAGTATGCTACTGTCAGAACACTGCTTTGGAGACAGTGACAATTGCCCACCCCTTGGCTTCCTACATCACTTAAGTGGAGGAGCCCCGCCTCCTCATCCTTGAGGAGGGAGGTGGCAGAATGGAGGATGCTGCTGAGGTGAGCTTGTGGCCTGCTGGGCCTGGAGCTGTTGGGTGTCCTTACCTGGGAATTGGACCTCGGACACCTCTAGAGTAGGTTTGTTATCTCCGTCTTACAGGCAAAGAGACTGGTGCCTCAGAGAGGTTTAGATAGCTAGCGAACATCACACAGCAGACCAGGAATTAAACCCACAGTTCCTTTTATTCTCTCCACCCCTCACAGAGTTTGGGGGCCCGGAGCCAGGCTGATGTGAGGTTCAGGGCAGATCTGGCTGTCATAAACCCAGTGATCTCAAGCCAGCAGGCAGAGAGGGACAGCCAGAAAGAGGGAGCTCGAAACATCTGTGACCTAGCAGGGAGAGCTCAGGGTTGGGCTGCGGAGAGCTGGGAAGGGGAAGAGTGGTTCAGGGACACAGGGGCTTGCTGACAGCCTGCGTTCTGGCAGAAGTGACGTCCTGGGGCCTGTGTCCATAGCACTAGGCAGGACCCCAGTCCTGGCTGAAGCTGAGGTGGACAAACCAGCCTCCCGCTGCCACTGGGCCCTGCCCTTCTCAGCAAGGCTGAGGTCCCTGCCACAGGTCCCCTCCCAAAGGCCAAAGGCGACCTTTGAATCCCCTCAGCCTACAGCCAGCCCTCACCTTCACACTCAGAAGCAGGCAGAACCCCAGCATGACGCACACGCCCCCACCATGCCCAGTCTACTCCTCGGCTATCTCATGGCATTGTCCCCCTTACATTCACTCACTCACTGAGCTCCAGCCACACCGGTCTCCTGCCACTCTTCAAACAAGCTGGCCTGTTCTGGCCTCAGGGCCTTTGCACTTGCTGTTCTTTCTGCCAGGAACAGTCTTTGCTCAACTGTAACTAGGGAATCAGGTCTCAGCTCAGATATCCTCTGAGGTACAATCCACCCCACCCCATCACCATCACCATCTGGCTCCCTTAATCTTGTTTTATTTTATAGCCCTTACTACCCTCTGACATTTTTGTAAATGTGGAGTTTTTATTCTTTCTCCCCTCTTACACCACATACTAGATTGTGAGCACCACAGGAGCAGGGACTTGGCCTTTTGTCTCCTGCTCTATCCCAAGACCCCAGGGCAGAACTTGGCACATACTAGATATTATGGTTTGGATCCAGAAAGTCCCCAAGGGCCTGTGTGCCTGGTGCCCAGCCTGGTGCTGTTGGGAGGCAGCGGAGTCCTTGAGAGGCGGGGCCGGGTGAAGGTCTTTGGGTCACGGGGTGGACATGACCTCAGAGGGCATTATGGGACCACAGTGACTTCCTGTTCCCTTTTGCTCCTCGTCATGAGTCGAGGCGTTTTGCTCTGCCACAGGGTCACACGGTCACCAGGTGCTGCCTTACCGCAGTGCTGAAAGCAACCTCAGCCAAATGAAGCTTCTCTCTGGGTAAGTTCATTACTTCAGTATCTGATGCAGCCACAGCAAGCAGGCTGACGCAGTAGGGCCGTAGTGAACGCAGAGACTGGGAACAGGCGTCGGAGCTCAAACCCTGCTTTTTGTCTCCTTGCAGGCTGACTTTGGGCTCGATCCCTGTACTCTCTAAGCCCATGTACTAGACCAGGGAAATGGACCTAAGAATCACATCAAAGTCGCAGGGAGGTTGTGAGATTGCCAGGAGATGACGGGGACAGAGAGATAAGAGCGGGGCCTGGGGCACAGTTCCTACTCCAGAAGGAGAAATAGATCTCCTGTTGCTGTTATTGTTGCTGTTACTGTGAGCGTAGTGAGGAAGAGGCTGGCTGCACTGAGTGCCTTCCTTTATTTACTGGTTTAGTCCCTACATAAACCCTACTGATATATCAGCTGTCAGTCGCTGGGGACACAGGCAGGCGTTGGGAAGATCACATTTTAGTGCGAGAGGCAGACCAAGGGCTTGATCTGTGCATGGGACCGGAAAGAAGCCCCAGGCCAGGGAAGCTCTGCTTTCCTTAAGCTAAGCAGAAAGGGCTTCATAGAGAAGAGGATTTGGAGCTGGCTCTTGAGGGAACTTGGTAGGCTGACCTGGAAAGAAGGGCATCCAGGCAGAAGGAATGCTGTGTGCGTGGCCAGTGTCCATGCCCTCGCCTGGACTATGAGCCAAAGCAACGGGCCCTGGAAACTGCTTCTACCTGAAAGGTCCCGGTCAGCTGTGTAAGCAACACTCTGGGATGAGGGAGGGTGCTGGTGGGGACAAGTCCGAGGGCAGAGAAGCTGGCCAGTGTGTGGACCTGGGGCACAAGGGGGGCTTAGCCAGAGAGGGAGGGGCCCCCTGGGCCACAGGGTGGAGCCCAGTAATTGAGATGGGCCAAGGCCATCTCAGAAGCTGCCAGGCTAGGGGATAATGTGCTGGCATATCTCGACTGCTTAACGTGGCACCGTCAGCCCACCACACATCAGAGCACTCCCAGCTCAGCAGTACTGGGGTGGCAGATGAGCCTAGAGTCTGTGGGCCGGGGAGCTGAGTGACTGAGTGTCACATAGGGCAGCCCCTGCTCATACTGCTGGGAAGTCGCGAAGGAGGCTTCTGCCATAAGCCACGGCAGGAAAACCCAACTGGGTTTGAGAAAGTACTTCCTTCCAGAAAACCAAAGGGAAACACATTTGTTCCCACGTCACACTTACACTTTCAATGGAAAGATGTGACCGTTTTTTCCAATTATGCACTGAAAGCAGCGGAGGGAAGACTCTACCTGTTATGGCCGCCACTTCCTCCACAAGGCCCTGCTCTACCTGCTGCGGCAGCCACTCCTCCCCCACGTCAGAAAGGACAGCTGTCTCCTAGCATGGCTGGCTGGTGCCTGAGGTCCCACCACTGACACTTCACTCCTTTGGCTTGTGGCTTTGTCCATTCTAAAATTGCAAAGACCTAAACAACCATGTATTCAACAAAAGTAACTTCGTTCATTGATTCTACAAATTACTGAGTTCCTTATCTAAACTGGGCAGTGGCTAGAAGTCCAGCGTAAACAGATAGTTAAGGCTTAGTCCAGATTTCCAAGGAACTCACCAGATGGCTGTGTGTCTGTTCCTGGTCGGGGGCAGAAATGACCTGGAAACACAATGAACAGTGCTGCAAAAAGGATGTGAGCACTGTGGGTGCAGAAAGCTTGGAAAATCCCCAGGAGGAATAACCAAGATACGTGTTTCCAAGAAGAGAATCCCAGGTGGAGGGCACAGCAAGGGCGAATGTATGTAGTCATGAACCATTATGGGAGACAGGAGGCCAAATGTCACTCAGCAGGCTTGAACACAAGGCAGGATAAAGAAGATGCATCTGAGAAGCAGGGAGTTCTCACCCATCCTTCCAATGACTGCAGGGGATGGTGGCTATTAAGGTTCCTCGTTGCCTCATCAGTTCCCATTTTGCCATTTCACCAAAAATGACCAGACATTTCTTTGGAAAACTGACCTGCCACTCTCATCACATGGACTGAATGTAATACCATCCTTATCTCTAGGGATCAATCTTAATTGGCCTACATACTCAGTCTATCCCAACCTACTGGATGCAGTGACTGGTTCATAAAAGAACACACAACTTCAATTCAGACTAGTGAAATGCTTGGGGGTGTGATGGTTAAGGTGGACTGTCACCTTGATTGGCCTAGCAGCTGCTCAGAGAATCAGTAAAACACAGTTCTGGATGTGTCTGGGTGGGCCATGGAGGCAGGTCCATGGGCTCTATATCTGATCTCTTGATCCTTCCTCTCTGGTGCTCTTCCCCTCTCTGCTTCCTGGCAGCCACGGTTGAGCAGCTTTCCTCTGAAATGTCCTTTCACTGTGCTAGTTCTGTCTTGAAACATCCTACCATGGAGTGAACTCTCTGAAACCATAAGCCAAGTTAAATCTCTCCTTTTAGTTGTTGAGTGCTGGGGATTTTGTTCCAGCGATGGAAAAGTGACAAATTCAGGAGGATTTTTGGAAAGCAGAACAACCTCTTTCTTGAAGGAGCTCCTAGAAGGAAAATGATGTTTTGGTAAGCATGGAGTGAGGGTGTGTGTGACTGGCTCTGGAGGAAGGCAACACGTGGAGGACAGAGAGGAGACAATGTCAGAAGTGAAGCCAGAGACCGAGCACCTGGCTCAATGGACACTGCGTCCACCCACCTATGTAGTTCTTGATCAGCTGAGCCACCAAGTTCCCACGTTTTCTAAACTGCTGTTTATTTATTTAATTCATTTCCTGTTATTTTCAAGAAAATTTCAGACTTCTCTAGGGCATTTCTCAAGGACAGATTCTATAGCGTTGGTGGAAAAAGGCAACAACAAATGTCTAGAACATGGGGTATGGCGAGGGCTGGGCAAGTCCACCTTCTCTTGATTTTACTCACAGTTCTCACTGTGAGTACAAATCTTTCCCCAGAAGATGCCCTCTGACCTCTCACACTGGCCTAGCATGTGGACAATATATCTGGCATCTCAGGGGTCAGGCGCCCTGGATCCTGTTCCAACTTTACTCACTAGTCATAGGGCACAGGCTGGGTCACACCCACGCTTTGGAGATGGATTTACGATTCCAAAGAGCAGGGCAATGTCCAGTCCCTCCCTGTGGCCACAGCAAGAGCAGATGTAAATAGGACTGTTCACTGACTGATCACTGTGGGAGCTGTACCTTCCTGCCTTGACCTCTCAGGATCAGGCCCATCTACGGTGCTAACAGGTACAGCTGCAGTTACATCTGTCCACATGGAGGGTGTGCTGGACACTGGCCCCTATGCTAGGGTAACAGAAAGGGGTTTCATGTGCAGGTTGCACAGCAGAAGCCTCAGCCACACAGAAGCCCTTTCTATGCTGAAGATACATGAGCCACAATTAAGCTGTAGGCTGAGAAAAATGCCCCCAAAGCCCAACCTTCTACTCTGCAACGGCAGCTGCCCTGAGCAGTCAGCCTCTGGAGCTCTTGGCAGCCTGTTCATTATGGACAAGTATATTCTCTGTCCACAGTAGAATCGAGTTAGAAATTAATAATGAACAGTTCTCTGGAAAATCACCAATTAATTGAAAACAAAATAGCATATTTTTAAATAATCCACAGGTCAAAGAGGAAATCAGAAGGGGAATTAGACAGTGTTTTGAACTGAATGAAATTTAAAAACAACACTATTAAAAATTGTGAGATGACACTAAATCAGTACTTAGGGCCATTGTTGTAGCACTAATGGCCTATAACAGAAGAGAAGAAAGGTCTCAAATCAATGATCTCAGATTCAATTGTATGAAACTGGAAAAAGAGAAGTAAATGGAACTCAGAATAAAGGAAGGAAATAATAGAGATCAGAGAGAAAATCAATGCTATAAAAGTCAGGGAACATAATACAGGAAAGCAATAAAACCAAAGGCTAGTTCTTGAAGGAGATCAATAAAATTGATAAACTTCTAGCCAGACCGATCAAGAAAAAAAGAGAAAAGACACAAATTACAAATAACAGAAATGAGAAAAGTAGCATCAGCATAGATTCTACAGATATTCAAAGGATAAGGGAATATTATGAATAACTTTATGTCAATAAGTTTAACAAGTTAGAAGAAAAGGAATAAATCCTTCAAAGTTATAAACTACCAAAGCTCATTCAAGAAGAAATGTATAATATGGGTAGTTATAAATCTATTATATGCATTTTATAGTTAAAAATATTCTCTCCAAGAAAAATTCAAGCTTAGATGATTTCACTGGTGAATTCTACCCATTATTTAAGGGAGAAATTATACCAGTTCTACAAAGTCTTTCTTCAGAATATAGGTGAGTGAATTCTTCCTTATTCATTTTTTGTGGCCAGTATGTCCCAAAATTATAACCAAATTCATCATGAAAATAGATGCAAAATTTCTACACAAAATGATAACAAATCAAATCCATCAACATATGAAGAGGATAATTTACTGCTAAGTGGGACTATGCCAGGAATAAAGGGTTGGTTTGACAGTTAAAGATCAATCAATGCAAATCATCAAATTGACAAACTTTAAAGAATAAAAACTTTAATGTTATCTTCATATGTATGGGAAGGCATTTGATAAAATCCAACTTTCTTGATAAAACTCTCTATAAGCTAGGAATAGAGGCAAACTTCCTCAACCCAGGAGGGGAATCTACAAAACGCTATAAGCCAAGAGCATACTTATGATGAAAGGCTTAATGCTTTACCTCTAAAATCAGGAAGAAGTCAGTAGTCTGTTCTCCCCATTCTAGTCCATATTGTACTGAAATTATAATCAGTACAATCAAATGAGAAAAAAATTAAAGATACTCAGTATGGAAAGAAAGAAATGAAATTGTCTTATTCACAAACATGATCATCTACGTAGAAAATCTGGCAAAACTTATAATGTAAACAAAGTATTAGAATTAATAAATGAGATTATAAAAGTGAAAGAAATAAAGAGCAATATAAAAATAAAATTTTTATATTCAATACTGGAGATTAAAATCACAGCCTTCACACTGAGCTACATCTCTAATTCTTTTTTCTTTTATTTTGAGAGAAGGTCTCACTAAGTCACTAAATTGTCCAGCTTGGGCTCAAACCTGCCAACCTGTGCCTCCGTCTCCCAGAGCTCTGGGGTTACAGGCATACACCACTACACCTGGACAAATATGAAGTATCTTTTCATGTTATTGAAAACAACAAGAAATGAAAATTAAGAAATAAAAATTTAGCATGGCATAGAAATCAAATTATTAGAAACAAGTCTGATAAATATGCACAAGTCCTAGATATAGAAAACTATAAAATATTGTTAGTTTTCCTCCATTATTCCATAGATTGAATGCAATCCCAATAAAAAAATCAACAGGTTCTTTTGCAAAAATTGACAAACTAATTCGAGTATGTGTGTGTGTCTGTATAAATACAAAAGAACTAGAATTGTCAAGCCAACTTTTAAGCAGAAGAACAAAGTTGAAATTATGAAACTCAGTAAGCAAGAAATATGCTATTAGTGGTATGACAAATAGATTAATATAATAGAATATAGTCTGGAAATACAACCACACATTTACAGATAACTGTTTTTTTTACAATGGAATAAAGTAATTCATTTGAAAAGGGGTAGATTTTTCAACACCTGCTCTGAAATAATTGAATGATTATATGCAAACAAAGATAAATTTTGCTTCATACTAAATACAAAACCTAAAATTATAAACCATCAGAAGTAAACAGGAAAAACTTATGATATTGATTAGACAAGATTTCTTAGCTATAACTTCAAAAGCACAATTCATATATATATATATATATATATATATATATATATATATATAT